AATTGTATTGAGTTTGTGGGAAGGATCAATTGTAGTTTGGACAAAGGAAAGGAGGGGAAAGGCAGAGGGCTCCATTCTAGGTGTACAGCCTCCATTTGTCCACCAGAGGGAGGTATGTTACTGATGGGAACAGAGGCCTGAACGATTGCCCTAAGTGTTATTTTAACTAATTAATATAAATTTTTTTTTTGAGACAGAGTCTCACTAAGCAGCCCTGGTTGGACTGGGGCTAGCTATTTAGACAGGGCTGGCCTCCAACTCATAGAAATCTGCCTGCCTTTGCCTACCAAGCCCTGGATTTAAAGGCATGTGCTACTACATCTGGCCCTATATAGGATTTTTGAGGCAAAATCCCCATTCTGAATTTCAGGCTGACCTCTAATTCATAACAATCCTCCTGTATAAGTATTATCACTATTCTTTTATTTTGTTTTTGAGGCAGGGTTTCATATTGCTCAAGCTGGTCCCAAATTCATTATGTAGCTGAGGCTAGACTTGAACTCCTGATCCTCTGACGTCTATCTTCTAAGTTAGGATTATAAGCACACCTTGTGGCCATCATGTCATTATCTTTTTAAAATTAGAGTACTCTAATGTTACAATTCAAGTGTGACTATGGAAAATGATTGCTCGATAAAAATGTATTTGTTTTACACAATGACACCTGAGTTGGCCCAGTTATACTTATTTAGTGAACGAGTGTGCTGTGTGGTATGAGCGTGTGGTGTATATATATGGGGTACATTCAAGTGCGCGGGTAAGTATGTGCACCCACGTAGTTTACACGGAGTGCAGGATGGTAGGGATCTTCCTCTGTTTTCTACACCTTATTGCCTGGAGACGGGGTCTGTCACAGAACCAGTTGACTGGCCTGACAGCTCTTGAGACTCACCATGTATTTCCCAGTGCTGGGGCTATAGATACAATCAGCTGTGGCTTTTCATGTCAGTGCTGGGGACTCGAACTCAGGTCCTCAAGCTTGCAGAGCAAGTACTCTTACCCAGTGAGCCATTTTCCAGAACAGGTTATTTTGGAAATACAAAAAATGTGTTTTGTTTGAACATAAAATTGTTTGTTTGGACTTAATTTGTAGTTACAAATGTTTTATTGGGGAGCTAGAGAGATGTCTCAGCAGGGGAGGGCACCTGCTATTCAATTATGAAGACCTGAGTTCGGATCCCAGCACCTATTTATCAAGCTGGAATCCAGCAGGCAGCTATAGCTCCAGGGCCCGGGGGACTGGTGCCTTCTTCTGGTATTGGTGTGTACTTGCATACACTTGTGTGCAGATACTCATGCAGGTAAGTAAATAAATCTTTAAGATATTTTTAGAGTATTTATTTAGGAAATTTAATCTGTCCAACTTCTTTAATGAGCTGGTAGCATAGGTTTATTCTAAAGGAGTTTTGGTTGGTGAAGATGCTTTGGCGGGGGTGGGGGAGGACTTGCATAGCTTTAATTTTAATAAGCAAAACCTTTTTCAAATTATAAGAAGATGGGTGTTTTGCAGTATAATTTTTGACTGATGTGGTCAAACTAATTAAGACGTTAATGATTATTCTTACTTTTAGCAGTCACATAGCTGGAGGATACATTGTGGTGTATTCACCAGAGAAGACTGCTCGGACATGGGTGTAAGCCAATAGAAACTATTAGCCAACTGACCATTGACTACATGTCAAGACTTTCTCAGGATGAGCTTTGAAGCACAAAAACCATGTTCTGGGTTGATATACTTCAGTTAAGAAGAACAGTTAGTTAGAAACAGAACTACAGATGCAAACAAGCAAGGTCCATCTCGAGGCTTTCCCAGAACTACGAACGTTGATGGATCAGGCCAGTTTTAGTCTTGTCAGGTTAGGTACTGTCTGCATGCTGAGCTTTACAGCCTGAATGGAACTTCTATCCTGGAGTCAGTTGTGTTAGGGTCTGGGGCCCTGTTACAATTTTTCGCTAATTAGGTAAGTATGCACTTTAATTATCTAAAGAATTAAGCATCTGCTGCTTCCTGTACAAGACTCTAAAGAGCCCGGTGGTGGTGGCGCATGCCTTTAATCCCAGCACTCGGGACGCAGGGGCAGGCGGATCTCTGTGAGTTCCAGGCCAGCCTGGTCTACAAGACCTAGCTCCAGAACAGGGTCCAAAGCTACAGAGAAACCCTGTCTTGAAAAAAAACAAAAACAAACAAACAAAAAACAAAAAAACCAAAAAAGTCTCCAAAGGAAGTGTTACCCTCACAAGAAAAAAATCAGAAAAACACAAGTACAACAGTTATATAAGAAGGTAGTATTCAGTATTCCTTTTGTTTTCTGGAACCTCCTACCATGGAGGTTTATATGCTTGCTTGCTTGCTTATTTATTTATTTGTTTGTTTATTTATTTTTGAGACAGGGTCTCTTTTGCCCTAAGTAAAATCACCTACATTGAGATCGCTTTGAACTTCTGACCCATCTGCCCCCACTTCCGGAGTACTGGAACTACAGGCGAATATTTGTGACTACACCTGGTTTATACAGTACAGGACTTTGTGCATGAATTCAGGTGCATCTCCAGCCCCAAGACTGAATTTTTGCTGAAGTTCAAGCATATGTATATGATGGCTCATTACTGATACCTGGCAGGATAAAGCAGGAGGAAAAACATGGGCTTGAAAGCAAGCCCGATATCTCGATGGCTTGAGCTATAGAGAAGCTGTCTAAATAAACAAAAATAAAGAAAAAATGAATGAAAGAACACACACGCACAGAGAGAGAGAGAGAGAGAGAGAGAGAGAGAGAGAGAGAGAGAGAGAGAGAGAGAGAGAATGCAAAAAGAACAAAGAACATGGCCAACATCTGGAAGGTGATCAGAAGGATCAGTATTCCACACTCATTCTGACCAGGTTGAGTAAATGAGACTCAATCTCAGACGAAACAAAACAGAATACAGTCCCTCAAAGGTTAACACTATTTGTCCCTGAAATTCTATCTCACCTTTAAAGTTTTTTTGGGAAACCAGTGTGTTGGTACATTATACAGCGATACTGAAAAACAAAGCTGCGTAGCTGTCATTTACTAGGGACATAACATTTAAACAGTGCAGGAGGACCAGAGAGAGCTGAGCTGATGGTTAGGTCATCTTTCCTGACTTATCTGCTTGTTTGTATTTAAGACGGTCTCCTTCAGTAGCTTAGGCCAGCCTCAGACTCTTGGATCCTCTAAGATTATAGGTGCATGTCATCATGTCCGGCTCCTACCTTATTTTGATATCAATTTCTCTTTTATTCTTTAGGCAGAGTTCTATTTAGTAACTTTGGGCAATTTCAGTTATCAGTGGGAAGAGGTTCCATGTTGACAAATTACCAAGAAAATCTCATTACTTAAAAAAAAAAGTTTTTGGGGGCTGGTGAGATAGTTCAGTGGTTACGATCACTGACTGCTCCTCCAGAGGCCCTGGGTTCAATTCCCAGCACCCACATGGCAGCTCACAGCTGTCTGTAACTCCAGTTCAAGAGAATCTGACATATATCAATGCACATGAAATAAAGTTAAATAAAGTTTAAAAAACAAACAAAAAGTCACTAAAAGAAGAAAATGGAGCTCTGGAGAGATGGGCTAGTGATTTAGAGTGAGTGTTGCTCTTGCAGAGGGCTCAATTTGGGTTCCCAGCACCTATATCACACAGCTCACTTCAGTTCCAGGGGATCTGATGCCCTCTTCTGGCCTCCCAGGGCCAGCACATACATACAGGCCCATACATATACATAAAAGAAACCTTTTTTTTTTAAAAAAATATTTATCTATTTATTTATTTATTATGTATATAATATTCTGTCAGTGTGTATGCCAGCAGGCCAGAAGAGGGCACCAGACCCCATTACAGATGGTTGTGAGCCACCATGTGGTTGCCGGGAATTGAACTCAGGACCTTTGGAAGAGCAAGCAATGCTCTTAACCTCTGAACCATCTCTCCAGCCCCCAAAAGAAACCTTTTTAAAAGAAGTTTTTGTTTTATTGAGACGAAGTGTTATATAGTTCAGGCTGACCTGGGGTTGCCTAGGAAGTCAAGGATGACCTTGAACCCCTTTGCTGCCTGAACTTCCCAAGAACTGAGAGTACAAGTCAGTACTCCTCCCTCCCTCTTCTTCTGAGCCCTTCCATTTTTCTTCCCTCCCCCTCTTTTTTTTTGGCGGGGGGGATTTGAGACAAAGTCTCACTCTTTAGCCCAGGCTGACCTTGAGGTAACTATATAGTTTAGGCTGCCCCAGAACTCCTGGCAATCATATGTCAGCCTTCTTAGTATTACAGATGTGAGCTGCTTAGACCAGCTTATTTCTTCAACATATGATTTCTAGTTTATTCCAATAGAAAACGAGAAGTGGGCAAGTGTTCTTATGTTACACTTATGTAACACAGTTTCTCTTTATAATGATCTAATAATTTTCACATTTTTGATGAAAAATTTCAACCACTCAGGAATCTTTATGAAACTGGAACAAATGTCATATTGAAAATACTTTAAGTAAAACTGTAATATTGTATGTGTATGCATGTTTTTCCCCATGTACATTCACAACTAATACATGTTAATAAAACTAGATGTTAAACCAGGACATGAATTCTAGTTCTTCTGGTTTATGTTTAGTCCTCCCTTGTAGAAAATAAGGTTAATTACGGCTGCTTTTTCACCCTTCAAGTGTTTAGGGAAAAATTAATTAAGGGAGCTAAGTTTAGTAAGTGGTCTCAACAATAATAAACTACGATTCCCAAAATGCCTAGAGAAAGAGGTTGCTGCTGTGGGGGGGCGGGGGAGACAGTTGCCGCTTCAGGGTAAAGGTACCAGTGCTGGGACCAGCAGCAGAAAAGGGTGCTTGTCCTTGACTGATTTCTAATGCACCCAGGGATATGTAGTTCCCATAGGGCCACAACGTGCCCTTAGGCCAGGTTTCTTACTACAAGTCCCGTGATGACTTGAGCAGCGCCTGCGTGCTGAAGCTAAAGGAGTGAGTGGGCGGTGCTAGTAGCTGGAGGAGTAAAGATGGCGGCGCGGGGGCCTCCGCCTTCATTTCCCGGCTGAAGCCCTCCGAGGGAGGCGGTGGCGCCCACTCAAGGCTACCAGCATTCTGGTGGTGGTAGTTTTGTCAGCAGCTGCGGAGGCTCGAGCCATGGCGGAGCTGGAGCACCTGGGAGGGAAGCGGGCAGAGTCGGCGCGAGCGCGGCGGGCTGAGCAGCTGCGGCGCTGGAGGGGCTCGCTGACAGAGCAGGAGTCCGCGGAGCGCCAGGGCTCGGGGCGGCAGCTGCAGACAAGACGCGGGAGCCCCAGGGTCCGCTTCGAGGATGGTGCAGTCTTTCTGGCTGCCTGCTCCAGCGGAGACACGGACGAGGTGAAAAAGCTTCTGGCAAGAGGTGCGGACATCAACACTGTCAACGTGGACGGTTTGACAGCCCTGCACCAGGTAGGACTCCCTCTTCCGTCTGCTGGGTCTTTTGCTTGCAAGCCTGTGGACCCTTCGACTGCCCCACCTGAAGTATTTTAGTGTCATCGAGGAGCCCTCTTGCAAAGACCATGCCACTTCAGTCAACTCATGTACATTCTTGGACACTTCCTTCCACGCCACAAATCTTTTTCAGACCCTAGGGTTAGGGTCTTTACCCGAAGGACTGGTGTCACCCAGGTGACTGGTCGGTGTTTATATTTCCCTCCACCTATTGGGTTGTCATGGTGACTGATGATTTGGTCCTTGGTGTTATCTCCATAGATTAGTCCTCTTTACTTCTGTCTTGCGCCTGTACCTCACGTCGCTCACGCTTACACTTAAGTGTCGTTAGCCTGATAACCTTTTCATAAGCTCAACTTTCTATTTGTGTGGCCCAGTTATCAAAACGTCTTAGGACAGTTAAAGAGAAATCTCAGGAGGGGGTTAAGACGGGCGGCTCCTCTGAAAGGACACTTGTTTTGCTGATGTGTGGTTTGTGCCTTCTCCAGGCCACCCTTAGAACACCCTTGACCTCATTGTTATGGGTGTCTCAATTTCTTTGCAGTCGTGCTACTTCTGGCAGGGACAGAATTATTTCTGTCTGGAACTTATGGAATAGACTTTCAGTTTTATTTCTGAAGCCCTCTATAGAAATGATTATCTTAATAATATATGTAGTCATTTCTTTATATACATATACACATATATATGGATTTCAGGTAATTTGAGAGTTTGATAAATAACGCCTTGATTTCCCTCGCTTATGCAACAATATTCTCTGTATACTGACTGTCGTAACTCCACCCTCTCTCCCCAGTTGAACTTCATCAGTTGTTTTGAGTGAGCTGAGAGCTGGGCACCCACTTCTCCTTCCTTCTTCCTTTCTTCCTTCTTTCCTCCCCTTTGAACACAAAGTCTCATGTAGTTCAGGTTGATTTAGAACTCTCCATGAGGGTGACGATGACCTTAAACTTCTGATCCTTCAGTCCCTATATTCCCAGTGCTGGGACTACCCGGTCTTTGCAGTGCTGAGGATCAAGCCTAGGCCTTTTGCATGCTAAACAAGAACTCTACCAGTAGAGCTACATCCCCAGCTCTTCCTTCTTTTCTCTTTCTTTCTGTACAAAGTGAATGTATTCATATAAGAATTCATTTTCAAATAATAATTCAAGTTTCCATTAAGCCCCTCCTTAAATATATTTAGCTAATAGCTTAAATTTAATAGCTTAAAATTGTTCTTATTGCTCTTCATGTGGAAGGAAATTCTCCTCTCCTTCCTGTTTTCCTCAGCACCCTACTTAAAGTATTATATATAACAACCAGTGTTTATATAGTACTCTGCTGTTTAAAATGATTTCACGTGTCTTCCCTCATGTAAGTCTTGGTAGTGTTCTTCTGCAATGGGTATAGTTGGTAATAATGGGACTCCCACTCTAAGAGGAATGGAAACCAAGAGAAGGGGTGTGTGTATGAAAAGCTAGGAAGGAGAGCAGTTGCCTGTGAAGTGTGTGTGTGTGTGTGTGTGTGTGTGTGTGTGTATGTGTGAAAAGCTAGGAAGGAGAGCAGTTGCCTGTGAGTATTGATTTTTCAGATTTGAATCACAAGCCCCATAGCCCCCCCGAATAAGGAACTAGATATAAACTGTGATAGAAACTAAGAGAACTACATTCAACTTTAAATAAGATTTAAACTAAACTTTTGAACTCTTTGGAAGGGTGAATTCTCCATACTTGTGAAGGGCAGAGGTCAGGTGGATGTCTTCTTCAATCATTCTCCACCTTTACATTAAGTACTATTATTATTTTTAGTATAACTCTGTAACTTTGTTGGTTGTTTTTATTTTGGTTAGTGTGTGTGTTTGTGTGTATGTGTATGAGTGCAGGTGTGTGTCGAGTTGAAAGGACAGCTTACGTTTTCTCCTTCCATTGTGAGTTCAGGGTTCAGGAGATGGAGCTCAGCTGGCAGGCTTGCTCAGCAAGGCTGTTTACCAGCTGAGCCTCGTTTCTTTTAAAGTGACTCTACTAGCTACGTTTAGCCCTTCCCATACACTTGAATATTACTCTGGGAAGTCACTCATGATAGACCCTCCCTTCCAGTTCTGTCTGCCTTATCAAGAAACTGGCTGCCTTGGTGCCCCTCCTCTCTTCGCTAACAGCCTGGATGTGAGTGTACTGTGTATTAGTTGCACTCTTTACATTCAGTAATTTCTTGAAGTAGGAAAGGAAGGGGATGAAAGCTATTAAATATTTTTTTTATCTACAAGTGTATGATATTTTCAGGCCTAGCCGTTGAATTGAATGCATATACTCAATACTAGGTAAATTCAAGTAAAGATTAATCTATTCAAAAATTTGATGTCAAGTCAAACAACTTACTGGTTTATATATATATATTTTTTTTTTTTTTTGTTTTTCGAGACAGGGTTTCTCTGTGGTTTTGGAGCCTGTCCTGGAACTAGCTCTTGTAGACCAGGCTGGTCTCGAACTCACAGAGATCTNTCGAGACAGGGTTTCTCTGTGGTTTTGGAGCCTGTCCTGGAACTAGCTCTTGTAGACCAGGCTGGTCTCGAACTCACAGAGATCTGCCTGCCTCTGCCTCCCAAGTGCTGGGATTAAAGGTGTGCGCCACCACCGCCAGGCTATATGTTTCTTTTCTACTGCCTGGCTTACCTGTGCATTTTAGAACTGCTTCAGGTGACCATGTAACTTTAGAAAAGTTAAAATTGCTTATTTCTGTGGAAGAGACATGAAGAATGGGGCAGATGAGAGGAAAAAGGTCGAACAATTTATAATTTATATTCAGTGGGAGATGGGGGAAGACTAAGATGAATGTGTGTTCAGTTCAATGTAAAAGTTTATCTGATGTGCTAATTTATATGTAAAAATAAGGCTTGTCTTTTAGTCCCTTCTCTTTCATTCCAGTTACCAACTTATTCCCCTCATAGTTTCTTCCATCTGCGAAGTGTCTTACACCTTACCCCCATTATTGAATTAACTGCGTAGTGTCTGACCCATGGCAGTATGGGGATTTGGAAAATCCTGTTGGCTCTTTCAGGGTTGTGTTTGTAGAGCTGTCACCCATCCCACATCATTTCATAGAGTACTGTGTTGCACTGTTTACTGTGATGCACCAGGCTATGTTGGGCACCTGGTCCCTTGCCCTGTGAGTATTAGTCCCAAGTTTCCATGCCTCTGTACACCAGTCAGATTTGAACACTGGATTTTTTTCTTCTGTTGTTTTGAAGTGCACATGGAACTGACTCTCATTTGTATTTGTTCCCTGGCCAAATATCTCTTTGCTTTTCTTTTTATTCATATTCTTTCCCTCTCCACCCCTCTTCCTTCTTTCTCTCCCTTCCTTTCTTTTTATTTCTCTCTCTTTCCCCCTTCTCCCTTACCCCCCCCCCCTGTGAGAGTGTGTGCGTGTATGTATACACAAGTGCCATAGCTTGGTGTGTAAGGTCAGAGGAGAGCAGGAGTTGGTTCTCTTCTTCTACCTTGGATCTCAGGGATCAAATTCAGGTCATCAGGCTTGTTGGGCAACTGCTTTTACCCGCTGAATCACATCTCCTTGAACCTCCTCTCCTTTGCTTCCCCTCCCCTCCCCTCTCTGAGACAGTCTCACATGGTCCAGGCTAGTCTAGAACTTAGTTTGTAGTGAGCGAGGATGAACTGAAATACTCAGCCTCTTGACTCCACATCACAAGTGCTGAGATTATAGGCATATGGCACCATACCTATTGGTTGGTTATTTTCACTTTTATTATTTATTTTTTAAACATTTTTTTATTTGTGTGTGTGCACGTGTGTGTGTGTGTGTGTGTTAGGAAATTCAGGTTATTTCCAAATTGCTATAAACGTTTTCAGAATTTCATCATATGATTTAGGTTGATCTTGTACTTGCTATGGTCCTAATTCAGCCTCTTGACTTCTAGGATTATAGGTGTGTTTCACCTTGTCTGTCCTAAGATTATATAGGTTGTAACATTCACCCTTTGGTTGAGAGTTCTGCCATGGGTGCATAACTTCCACCATTATGAACACCACACTGTTATTACCTCACAGTTCAGTCCTTCCTCCCTAGAGGAATCATAACCCATGACAATCCTAAGATACATGCCAACAGATAACGAGTCTTGCTTGGAACATGATTCTGATAAGCTTATTAGTTTGCTTTGTTTGAGACAAGGTTTCTCTGTGTAGCCCTGGCTGTCCTGAAGCTTGGTTTGTAGACCAGCCTGGCCATGAACTCACAGAGATCCGCCTGGGTCTGCCTCAAGAGTGCTGGGATTAAAGGCATGTGCCATCACTGGGCTGACTCTACAAAATTTATTTTAAAAATTTGAGAACAGAAAATTAAACACTATTGACCATTTTATGATTTTAATCAGAAGACTCTTTGGGCATCCAATCTCACTTCTCTTTGTCCTATGATAACCCCCCCCCACACACACACACTGTCCTCTCTCATTTGATATTTGGATAAACTATTGAAATTGTGATTGCTTTTACTTAATGTATATTTCTTAGAGATATTTGCAATTTGCAAATTGAAATACTTGTAAATAGAATTATATGATGTCTGTAATTGGCTATAAAAGATCTATATGGGGTTGGGTTGAGGAACTTATGAAAGGGACAAGTTTAGTGTTGAATTAATTATTTGAGAATCATCAAACCATCCTATTCTTGTATTTTTAAGTATCCCATAATAAAAAGCCTTAAAAAATGGGCTAGCAAAATGGCCCAGTGTGCACAGGTGCTTATTGCCAAGAGAGCAGCAAGAACACACATGGGTAAGGAGACACTGACTCTCACAGCTGTCTCTGAACTCCACTCACATGAGCGTGCACATCACAATAAATATGAAAGAATACTCTGTAAGAATTGTGAATAAAGTGGCTAACAGTCTATGGACTGTTGAAAGGCTTGGTGTGATGCCCAAGAGTTTAGTGTGGGACATACGTGCAGTGTGATGAT